AAAGAAAGCAAATAAAAAAGGATAGGAGTGGAGAAAGGAAAGTGGGCGGAATGGGTGAGACGCGGGCTCATTGCTGCTGCTTACAGCCACCATCAATCAATCAGACTTATTGCACTCTTTCTAGTCCATTTCCCCATTACATAGTTCCACAATTTCAAGAGTCTGTAGTCATGTGACATCTTGTCTCTGAGAAATGACGAAACATCTGAACAAAAACAAGCCAGCTCGGCGAGCAAGTCAACAACCTCAGCTTTAGTGATCCTACTCCAGTTTGATGACCTTGAGATTTCATGCAAAGTTGTTTTTCACTTTTGGCCACACTGAAGTTCTTATGACGTCAGTTAGGCTTGAAGTTTTTCCTGTTTCAAACTGCAGAATCTGAAATGGACATCCACCCCCCACCCCACTTTCAGTCCACAAATCATGTTAGCTGTGTTCGATACTGGAGTGTAGGACTTTTTAATAAATTACCTATGGTTGTAGTTGAGGGAATGATTTGGCAGGAGTAAACGTTAGAGGTCAGCCCATAAACATGGAAAGTTCAAATGAAGTTAATGAGACAGAACAGTGATGGGAACATGACAGGATGATTAGTGGACTTGACAGGGGAGATGCAGGAAGATTGTTTCACCTTGTGGTTGAGTTCTGGAGTACTGTGTCCAGTTCTGGTCACCCAGTTATAAGGAACACTACCCATCACCAACCATATGCATGGCAGATACTCATGTGACTTGGCCAACATTGTCTACTACAGGCAAGGATGTCCCTAGGCATGGTATATTGGCGAAACCATGTAGATGCCACACTAAAGGGTGAATGGACACTGCACAACAATTGCCAGACAGGGATGTTCCCTCTCAGTGGGGAACACCTCAGTGGTCAAGGACATTTGGTCTCGGATCTTCGGGTAAACATCCTCCAAGGCGGCCTTCAGGATACATAACATCGCAGAGTTGCCAAGCAGAGGTTGACAGCCAAGAGTTCAGTACCCATGAGGATGGCCTCAACCAGGATCTTGGGTTCACATCACACAACAGATGACCCACCACACTATACGCGCTCACATACACACACACACACACACACACACTCACACACACACACACACACACACACACACACACACAAACCCTCTCCTGCACACACAAACACACTCACTCTCACACAGATCCAGTCTCATACACACAGTATCTCTCTCTCTTTCTCTCTCTTCCCCCACACATGCACATACACAGATGCACACTCTCTCTCTTCCACACACACACGTACACACACACACACACACACACATGAACCTTTGGGGTGAATGTGTATTTGCAAATACATTCTATTTTGTTCAAAAAGCACACAATTTATACACAGTCAGTCAATGTGGGGTTTTATAAATTCCTACTTTAGAAATAAAACCAGTCTGACTCCAAACCAAAACAAAAACAGACTCTAAATAAGGCTTTACATGTAACATGCATTGTCTGACCTAAAATGTCACCCTTCTTTACACTGATAAAATCTTTATTCTCTCAGGACAGTGACTAGAAAGGAATTCGGAGATTTACATATACATATTAATCAATTAGAACCTTCTAACTGATTAAAGATTTAACAGCATCTTCAGTTTGTTTAATATATCGTCATCAGTGGTGTGACTCTTTGATCTTTTACTTATAAATTCTGTGTTTGATACTACCTTTCTCTAACACTTGAAGAAGGAGTGAGGCTCTGAAACCTTGTGTTTTCAAATAAACCTGTTGGATTATAACCTGCTGTTGTGCGATTTCTGACCTTGTCCACCCCAGTCCAACACCAGCACCTCCAAATCGCAGTTATAGGAAGGGTATTCGTAAGCTGGAAAAGGTTCAGAAGAGATTTACCAGGATGTTCCCATGTATGGAAGGTTCGAATTGTAAAGAAAGGCTGGACAGGCTGGGACATTTTTCACCAGAATGTAAGAGGTTGCGAGGCAACCTTACAGAAGTTTATAAAATTATGAGGGGTATAGATGCTATTAATGGTAGTTGTCTTTTCCCTCGGGGATTTCAAGACTGGAGGTACATTTTTAAAGTGAGAAGAGAGAGATTTAAAAAAGACATGAGGGGCAAATTGTTTACACAGAGGGTGGTTCATGTGTGGAATGAATTCCCAGAGGAAGTGGTGGATGCGGGTACAATTACAATGTTTAAAAGACATTTGGATAAGTACACGAATAGGAAATGTTTGGAGATAAATGGGCCAGGAGCAGGCAGGTTGGACTAGTTTAGTTTGGGATTATGTTTGGCATAGACTGGTTGGAACAAAGGGTCTGTTTGCATGCTGTATGACTCTATTACTATATGACATGATCTCAAGCGTAAGGGGTCATCCATTTAAGACAGATGAGGAATAATTCCTTCTCTCCGAGGGTAGTGCATTTGGAATTCTTTACCACAGAGAGATTTTGATCCTGGGTTTTTAAGAATATTTGAGATAGATTTTTAATCAGTAAGGACATCAACAGTTATGGGGATAACCATTGAGGATTATTAAATCAGCCACGATCTCATTGAATGATGGGCTGAATGGCTTATTTCAACATCTCACGGTCTTATATCCCCAATTTTCTATGATCACATTCTACATTATTTGAGATATGATCAGCCTTGGTGGAAGGCTGCGGTAATTTTCTCTACTTAATCCCAGTTATACTGCATCCTTACCTATTTGGCGTAGTTGTGATCAGAATCCTCTAACCTTTGGATCAGTCCACCTTACCCTTGTAGTTACCTGACGACTTGTCTTGACAAACTTTCCAGTTCTGAACACCATCAACTGCATGTTTCCCTCCAAGCCATACATAATCCTGACTTGGAACTTTATTGCTGCTCCTTCACTTTTGCTGGGTCAAAATTTGGGAACTCACTTCCTAACTTCAGAATAGCTATACCCTCAGGGTTGGTTAGCTCAGTTGACTGGATAACCAGTTTGTGATTGAGTGTGATGCTAACACCACAGGTTCAATTCCCTCAGTGGCTGAGGTCACGATGAAGGTCCCTCCTTCTCAACCTCTTACCCTCCTTGCCTGAGACATGGGGATTTTATTACAGGTGTGTCAAATAATGCAGTGATTCAAAAATCTTAACCCACCTTCTCAAGGGCATTTAGGAAAGGATAATGAATACTAGCCCTGCCAGCCATTCCCACATCCTGTGAAAGAATTCTTCAAAAATATTGTTGTTTGTGGGAGTTGCTGCAACATACACTTTGCTGACTTTGCTGCCTTTCCTGCATTGCAACATTTATTAGTTGCACAGCACTTTGGGATGCCCAATGTCTGTAAATGTATTGTGTAAATGCAAAAGGCTTCCTTTTTAGATAACTGCACCATCATTTTGAATTCATGGTCATGTGTTGAAATGAAAGAACAATCACAATAAAAGTGAGTTCTGTTTATATGTGTCTGGGGTGGTTGCATGTGACGCTGTTAGGGCAGGTGTGATGTCTACATTATTTACTTCCACAGTAAAGATTTTGCGATCGAGAATTTAACATGAGACCTTTACTTAATTTGCAGGGGAAACATCAGCAGACAATCATGATGGTAATTGGAGCTGCAGTAACAAGTGCAAGTAAGCGCTATTCAATCATATAATCTTTTTCTTTAAATAATGGAAAACAAAAGGGAAGTCAAGGGCGACAACACTTCACCAACTGGAATCATAACAAGCACAAAGGAAGATGTCTCTGGCTGTTCTTACAGGGCAGCCAGCTGCCTGCAAGGTAGAACTCTAGGCACAGGCTGTGTTTCGACTGTATAATATGCATATTATTATTATCTGGAGAAATTTACTTTGAATAAAGTAAATCAAAGAAGAAACCAGCCTTGCAAACTTGATGACCAAAAGGAGCAGCAGCAAACAAAGGAGAACAATAATGTAGAAGTTTCCACAGTACAGAAAATGTAAGAAAATAAGATAATTTTACAGACTGTGTATATATCCAGTTCGTTAGTTTGGTGCAGGCAGACAGCTAATTCAAATCCACCCTACTGAAAAGCTCATTGAATGAAGAGAAAACTTGTCTAAACTCAAGCAATGACAATAAAGGTGGGCTGCATTTACAATAACGAATCATCCCTAAAACAAGTTTCAAGCGAAAAAATAGAAAATGTACAATAAGTATTGAACACAAAGCACACCAGGATGGATAATAAGTCCATCACCATAAAATGAAATGCCATGGATTATCTGCTCTAATATCAAACCTTTTAAACAAAGGATGCAGTCAGTAAATGCCTTAACAGAGGGCAAGTGAGAACAATCTTGCCAAACCATCACCTCTCCAAATTCTCCAAGAAGCAGGACACACTTCTCAACAAATATGGGAGGATAAAAATGGTGCAGCTGTGGAACTATTTCAATGACATGTGGGACACACCCTACAGTGGGAGCCTACTTTCTTGCAGTAATAGAGAAAGTAAACAGTGAGCCCAGACTTAGAAATTTGCAACATCTAATGGAACAATGCTGAGGAGGAATAGAAAACATTTATACAAATTGTGGAGCCAAACACAAAAGAACACACCCAGACCGAACACCAGGACAACAATCAACACATGATAACATGTCCACAAACCTACATCACCCAAGGGCAAAATCCCCACTACCAGAAAGTGACAACATAGCAAGATCTAGAAAGTTGTCAAAACTTGAAATGATACATGAAATTTAAACTCCTGGACTTGTAAACTTTACAATATGCATCTCTATATAATTAATTCTGCTCTTATGCAATGTTTGTGTTTACACTTGTAGCATATGAAAGCGGTCTTTAAATAAAAGCCAAGTCTAGAGATTACACTGCACTACACACATTAATTTAGCTGTAAACAAATCCACCACAGATCATCAATAATTGGAAGCAACGTATCTCATTTGTGTTGCAATTAGATTGCACAAGAATGTTGTAACAAATGTAAGTTGTCATCTGGAAGCACTGTAGTCAGTGTGCTGCAAATGCACTCACAACGTTGTTAGGAAGAGGCTTCCAGGATTTTCACCAGGCACGTTTGACCAAGGCTAGGTTTGCTATTGTCATTTCCAATACTCGAATGTTGCTGGGTACTCTGTCTGGTTTCTTACTTTTCTTACACTTAGTAGTAATTTGATACAATGGAGAATCTTACTGGGGTCATACTACTCCAAGGGCATGTTAGAGACATGTGGGTCTGGAATCACATTTAGAGCAGATAATTTTCTTCCCTAAAGGGCATTAATGAGCCAGGTTTCTTTTTATGATAATTACCAATGGTTTGATCATTATGATTAAGTTAGATTCTGATTCCAGATTTATTGGTTAAATTCAAATTTCACCATCTGTGGTGATGGGACTCCAATCTATGTTCACAATGCTTTCGCCTGTTCGCTGGATTCTTGGCCTTGTTACATTACCACGATGTCACCAAGATCTCAAGGAGCTATTTAACAATGTTAATTGGCCTCGTTGATAAATTAGCTGGGATCTTATGGCTGTTCCCCCTGCTTTGGTAAAATTCATTAGCACCAGCAATGTCGTTGGTAAAATGGTACACTGACAGACAATCCAAATTTGCCTCTATTCCTGCTGGTAACAGGACCTAAGAATGCAGCACATAGTTTCTGCTGGGTCTAGGTAAAATCATCACCGATATCTTGAAAGTAGACAATGGTAACTCATCAGGTTACTTTCAAATAACATCAGAAATATCATCCAGAGAATGAAGGAACAATAATGTCATGTCAGTCACGCAGTACTCAATGTGATAACACACAGCACCATCTAACCATGCAGGATTATTAGATTTCTGGGAGTTCTTGATATTTTGAACATTGTAGATGTGTCCCTACAATTTCAATGCATGGCAACACAGCATGAATCAAGAGTGTACAGATGTTGGTAGCTGTTATTGCAGTGTCAGGTGTGGGTGAGGGATTTCAATGGGCATTCTCCCAATTGTATGCAATAACTTTTGGAAATCAGGCCAACTCTTGGAGCAATAGCAAAAGTGGACATTTATTCTGGTTTCTCAAGATTTTCGACCAAAGTTGCAGTGGACAATCTAAAGTAGAAATCCCAAGCAAAACATCTTCAGCATAAATGTTGAATCATGTCCTAGATTTGTAAGATTATTATAAATAAAATAGATATTGCAAAATGCTGCTGCATTGATATATTGTGAAAGAAATAAACCTTAATTGCAGATGGGAATGAACTTGACTTTAGAATTGCTGGATTTGAGCAATACTGTTAAACTGGACCAATGTTGTTCTCACGCTTGATTCCCTGGTGTTTTAATCTATACTAAGTTCCTGTATATTGTGCCATATTGAAATGGAGATATATTATCTTTCAGTTGTTACCATTGCTGCTGCCCCAGTGGTTCTGGGAGCTGTGGGATTTACGAGTGCTGGAATAGCAAGTGGCTCCATTGCAGCAAGTATGATGTCCTCAGCAGCTATTGCCAAAGGAGGAGGAGTAGCTGCTGGAAGTCTGGTTGCAATCCTTCAATCTGCCGGTAAAATCCCCTGATAAGTAATGGATATTTTCTGAGCATTTCTTGTTCAAAGTCTCGCTGATAAAGTCTGACACCTTGAATTTATAAGTGTCAAATAATATTTATTGGTTTGGAAACCTCTCTCAGTATAGACTTTACCAATGCTAACTTACATGTTTGCAATAAATATTAATGCTACTTATGTTTTAAACTTGCAATGTGCCAATAATAGATGGGTTTGCTTTATTGTGAATACAAGTAAAGAAATTAACTATCTAATAAATTTATTTTTGATTCCATCTTCCCCCAAAATATTATTTTTTCTAATCATTTGTGGGATGTGGGCATCGCTGGCTGGCCAGCATTTCTTGCCCATCCCCCGCTGACCTTGAGAAGGTGGTGGTGAGCTGCCTTCTTGAACCACTGCAGTCCTCCTGCTGTAGGTTGACCCACAATGCCATTAGGGAGGGAATTCCGGGATTTTGACCCAGCAACAATGAAGGAACAGCAATATATTTCCAAGTCACAATGGTGAGTGGCTTGGAGGGGGTCTTGGAGGTGGTGGTGTTCCCATATGTCTGCTGCCCTTGTCCTTGTAGATGGAAGTGGTTGTGGGTTTGGAAGGTGCTGTCTGAGGATCTTTGGTGAATTTTTGCGGTGCATCTTGTAAATAGTACACACTGCTGCTACTGAGCATCGGTGCAGGAGCGTGTGGATGCTTGTGGATGTATTGACAATCAAGCAGGCTGCTTTGTCCTGGATGGTATCAAGCTTCTTGAGTTGGGGGATGGTATCAAGCTCCTTATAGGGATCAGAATTATAAGAAATGTTGATTATTGATAAATTCAGGACACGTCATGTTGTTATTGTTTGTTTTTCTTTTTTTTTACAGGGGCCACTGGAATCCCAGTTGTTGCCAAGCTTGGCCTGGGAACTGTGGGTGCTTTCATCGCTGCACTTTTTTTGAAATGTTGGAAAGTAAAAATCCCTGAAGACAACTGAAAATAAATAAAGCTTTTATTTTCATTCTGAACCAGTGAAGGGAAAATGCAACTGAAAAATGAAGCTGAAATTCAATAAAAGCTCTGCATAATCTAACATTTCTTCTCTGTGATTATTTTATCATCCCAAATATGATAAGGTTCTATGCAGCAGTGTTCCTCACATTATTCATGCAAATGGGAGGTAATGGCCGAGAGGTATTATTGCTAGACCCAGATGATGTTCTGGCCTCAAACCCACCATGGCTGATGGCGGAAATTTCATTCGATAAAGGATCGTAAAATTAAGAGTCTAATGATAATCATGCAAGAGTTGCTGATTGTTGGAAAACCTCATTTAGTTCACTTTAGGGAAGCAAACGTGCCATCCTTGTCTGATTGACATGTGACTACAGGCCCACAGCAATATGATTCACTCTTAACTGCCCTATGGGAATGGGGTTACTCACATCTTGTCAATGAATAAAAAAAGCCAGCATCCAGCTTCACACAAAAATCTATCCCATGAAACATTCACTACCTTTTCTGGATTGTGAGACTGCTGTGGTGTCTTCTTATCTGAGTAATTCTTCTCTGTTGTATCTAAATTGTGTTTTACCAGACTTTAGGTACGCTTGGTATAATTTGGAGAACGGTAACTGCTTTAATTATCAACTCACTGCCTTACTTTGAGTTTTCAGCTTTGAGTCCTAATCATACAGTTGTAGAATCATAGAATCCCTACAATGTGGAAGCAGCCCATTTGGTCCATCAAGTCCACACCAACCTTCCAAAGAGCATCTCATTCAACGCCGCCACCCCCTACCATATCACCCTGCATTTCCCATGGTTAATCCACCTGGACTGTACATAGAGTAACAGAGGAATACAGCACAGCAACAGACCCTTCAGTCTAACCAGTCCATGTTGAACATAATCCCAAACTAAACTCATCTCCCCTGCCTGCTCCAGGCCCATATCCCTCCAAACCTTTCCTATTCATGTGCCTATCCAAATATCTTTTAAATGTTGTAATTGTACCCACATCAACCACTTCCTGAGGAAGTGCATTCCACACGTGAACCATCCTCTGTGTAAAAAATTTGCCCCTCATATCTTTTTTAAATCTTTCTCCTGTCACCTTAAAAATGTGCCCCCTAGTCTTGAAATCCCCCATCCTAGGGAAAAGACAACTACCAATAGCTCTATCTATACTGCTAATTATGTTATAAACTTCTACCAGTTCACCACTCAATGTCCTGCGCTCCAGTGAAAAAAGTCCCAGCCTCTCCAGCCTTTCTTCATAACTCAAACCTTCTGTATCCAGCAACATCCTGGTAAATCTCTTCTGTGGGAAGAAACCTGCACAGACTTAGGGAGAAGGTGCAAACTCCATACAAACAGTCACCCGAGGATGAATTCAAACCTGAGTGCCTGGTTCTCTAAGACAGCATTGTCAACCTGTGAGTAACCATGCCACCTGATAAAGATTTGTCTTCTTTTAAAGGCATAAAGTTCTTTTGCTGATTCCAAAGCCTGAAATTGTGTTTATTCTTGGCTTACTGCCATTAGCAAGTTTACTTTAATACTCCATTTTTAATCTTTACTGGGAAGAGATCACAACAACATGAATTTCAATGCAAATGTTGTTGGTCAAAGTCATCAAAATCTATTTCTGTATGTACAAGGAAATGTGAACCTTACTTTGAGCACACCTCAGGAATACCCCGTAATATTGAATCATCTGGGGTTCTGTAACTCTCTGTACCTCCGACCTCTTTGTGACAATCCAGCCAGGTAACCTCGCTTTCTAGTGGTCTCTGTTGCCTATCATTGGCCCAATCTGAGGCTGGTTAACTACCTATTTGGAGTAGACAGTTTTATACAATGTAAGGGGAACCTGGTGTTCAAACTCGCTCCGGCCCCCTCACACACAAATTAATTTCCTGTACCCTTTCTACACACAATGGAGTTCATTCTCTGTTTGTTGAATGGTGGTACATCTAAATTTTTGGACAATCCATGTGTTATTTAAACTGTCTGGCTTTCACTTCAATTGGAATGATTGATTTTCAACTCAAACGTTAGAGAATTAAAAACACAACCCAAAATATTGACATCATTTAATGTTTATAATTTTTACTGGAAACAAAGGGCTGGCAGTAACATCATGTGGATTTCTGAGGAAAACAAAACTGAAATTAATGTCGCAGCTTGAATTTCTCGAATCCAACTTTCATTGAGATATTGTATAAAAATTAGACAGTGTATTAATGCATTGTCTGTGGTACTTTTCTATATTGGATTCTTAACCGCATGAAAAGAAAAAGTTAATTAAAGTTGCCTGACCTGTTGTGATCTCCAGCATTTTTTTTCTCAATACTGATTCCAGCATCTGTTTCCATGCTAACAAGGTGCAGGGCTGGATGAACACAGCAGGCCAAGCAGCATCATA